GCATAATTAAGAATGAGAGAATATATATTTAAGAAGTTGAGCGAACACCATATAGGATAGACCCCAAAAGAAAAACACCAAGGCATAGCATAGTTAAATTTGCCATAACCAAAGATAAGGAGAGAATTCTGAAAGCAGCAAGGGAGAAACAGAAAGTAACCTATGAGGGAGAGCAGATAAGATTAAGTGCTGATTTTTCAGCCGAAACCATGCGAGCAAGAAGAGAGTGGAAGGACATATATCAAACACTCAAAGAACACAACTGTCAACCAAGAATACTATACTCAGTAAAATTATCCATCAAATATGAAGGAGAGATCAAGATATTCCTAGAAAAACAGAACCTATGAGAGTGTGTAAAAACAAGACCTGCATTACAGAAAACACTGATAGATGTCCTTACAGAGCTACCGTTTTACAGGATGGACCAAAGTAACTAGCAATAACACCAAAAAGAACTCAGCAAAATGATAGCAATAAAACCCTGCCTTTCAATAATCACACAGCATGTGAATGGTTTGAATGCACCACTGAAGAGAAGAAGAGGAGCAGATTGGATGAAAAAACCCAAAATCCATCAATATGCTGTCTAGAAGAGACACACCTGAAAAATTAAGATAAAGAAAGACTAAAAAGAAAAGGATGGGGAAAAAATATACCAAGAAAATGGAAACCAGAAAACAGCAGGAGTAATGATATTAATCTCCAATAAAATAAATTTCAATGCATAAACCATCACAACAGACAAGGAAGGTCACTACATAATGCTTAAAGGGTCAACAGAACAAGAGGACATAACAATAATAAATATCTGTGCACCAAATGAAAGACGTGCAATATATATCAAACAAACATTAACAAAACTGAAAAAGGAAATAGACAGCACTACTATAGTACTTGGAGACTTCAATACACCACTCTCAAGAAAATATAGAACTACCAGAAACAGACTCAACAAAGATGCTCAAGAATTAAACCACATAATAAACCAACTCGACCTCATAGATATTAATAAGTTAATGCACCCCCCAAAACACAGTATATCTACCTTCTTCTCCAGTGTGCATGGAAAATTCTCCAGAATAGATCACATTTTAGGCCACAAGGCAAGCATCAATAAATTTAAAAACATAGAAATAATACAAAGCATTTTCTTAGACCACAATGCTACAAAATTAGATATGAATAACAAGAGGGTAAAGGAGGAAAAAAAACATACATTTGGAAGCTGAACAACACCTTGCTTGAACATGAGTGTGTACTAGAAGAAATAAAAAATGAAATAAAAAAGTTTCTTGAAACAAATGACAATGAAAACACCACTTACCAAAACCTCTGGGAAACAGCCAAAGCAATAATCAGAAGTCAATTTATAGCATTAAGCAAACATCAAAACGCAGGAAAAAATGACCATTGACTCTCTAACCCAACATCTCCAAGAAATTGAAAAAGAATATCAGAAAAACCAGACACCCTCTAAAAAACCTGAAATTATAAAAATTAGAACAGAAATAAATTAAATAGAAAATTGAAAAATAATTGAAGCCATCAACAAAACTAGGAGTTGGTTCTTTGAAAAGTTCAATAAAATTGACAAACCACTAGAAAAACTAAGGAAAAGAAGAAGAAACACAAATAATCCAAATAAGAGATGAAAAGGGCAACATCACAACAGAACCAACTAAAATAAAAAGGTTAACATTGGGATATTATGAAAAATTATACTCAAACAAATATGAAAACCTAGGGGAAATGGACAACTACTTAGAAATTCAAAACCTACTTAACCTAATGCCAAGTGAAATTGAACCCCTGAATAGACCCATTGCAAAAGAAGAAATTGAAAAGGTAATGAAACAACTTCTAGCCAAAAAAAATCCTGAACCAGATGTCTTTACAAGTGAATTTTACCAAACATTCAAAGAAGAACTGTCACCAATTCTACATAAACTATTTCAGAAAATAGAAAAAGATGGAATTCTCCCAAACTCATTCTTTGAAGCAAACATATCCTTGATACCAAAGCCAGGTAAAGACATCGCCAAAATAGAAAACTACAGGCCAATATCTCTCATGAACATAGATGCAAAACTCCTGAATAAAATCCTGGCCAATAGAATCCAATGATACATTAAAAAAAAAAAATTCACCATGACCAAGTGGGATTCATGACAGGGATACAGGATGGTTCAACATAAGAAAAACAATCAATGTAATCCATCACATTAACAAAGCAAAGAACAAGAACCACATGATTGTATCATTGATGCAGAAAAGGCCTTTGACAAAATTCAACACCATTTCCTGATTAAAACACTCAAGAAAATAGGATTAGAGAGGGATTTCTTCAACATAGTAAAAAGTATATATGCAAACCTTAGAGCCAACTTTGTTCTCACTGGAGAGAGTTTAAAGGCATTTCCCTTGAGAACAGGAACTAGGCAAAAATGCCCACTATCACCTCCCCTATACAATATTTTATTGGAAGTCTTAGCTATACCAATAAGGCAAGAGAAGGAAATAATAGGTACCCAAATTGGCAAAGAGGAGGTAAAATTATCTCTATATGTAGATGATATGATAGTGTACTTAGAAAACCCTAAAGACCCAGCAAGAAAACTACTACTGGATATAGTTGACTAATTCAGCAAAGTGGGAGGATACATGATCAACATAAATAATCAATTGGATTTCTCTACAGTGACAAAGAGAATACAGAAGTGGAGCTGAGAAAAACAATACCTTTCACAATAGCTAATCACAAGATTAAATACTTAGAAGTAAACCTAACCAGAATGACAAAGGATCTGTTCAAAGAAAATTAGAAAACATTATTACAAGAAACAAAAAGAGAACTGGAGAGGTAGAAGAACATCTTCTCACATGTTTTAACCATGTAGTCAGTAGAGGCCACTCCTTGGAGAAAGCCACTTCTGGGGAAAGTGGAGGGTCAGAGAAAGAAAGCAAGACCTTCAGCAAGATGGAGTGACACAGTGACTGTAACAACGGACTCAAGCATATTAGAGATGGCACAGGATACAGTAAGGTTCAGATCTATTGTCTACAGGGTCAGTATGAGTTATAGGTAACTTAATGGAACCTAACAACAACATTCTACTTCTTATCTGCCAACATCCTGATAAATCTTCAAGAAGGACCTCCAAAAGTAGACATGATTGAATAGAAATAAAAACAACTCTTTGCCATTGAGTCAGATCCAACTTATAGCTGACCTTCCAGTTTTAAGAATATGTAAATATCATGGGAGGATCTTTATCTCATGGAGCAGCTGGAGTATTCAAATTGCTTGCCTTTGAGTTGGCAGCCACTTCTTACCCATTAGGTCACCAGAGCTCCCTTAAGGAAGAATCGTTGTTGAGTGCTGTGGAGTCAGAACTGACCCATAGCTGACCCTGTAGCCAGTTTTCAGAAACAGTTAATCACAAGGGAGGAGATTATTCATCTTTCTCCCATTGAACACTTGGTGGATTTGAATCCTATGCCTTTGGGATTGCACTGTAGCTTTTTACAATTAGGCCACCAGAGCTAAGTTATTGCAAAAACTAGTCATGTTTGCAGTTCTGGGACCATCCTGTAAGAAACTGTATAGAATGTCTGTACCTTTGCCCAATCATGATCATGTAATGTTACTTATGTGTTATGGACCTAATGGATTTGAACTGTGTGACTTTGGGTTCGTAGCACAATTACTTACCACTAAGCTACCATAGCTCCAGTTCCTCAGTGTTGGAAAACTTCAGTTGGAAGGTCAATCAGTCTAATTCTCTTACCCAAGGAAAAGGTAGTTCTTAAACTGAGCCAGGAAAGGTTTGGATATGTCAGAGTATGAGGCAGGAGGAGGACGAGTAAGTAGAGGAGGCAAAAGCACTGAAGTCAAGATGCCAAAGTGATTGCAAGCTTAGCACTATCATTATTATCTACAGATTTCTTTCCCAGCCTCCTTTCCTCTTTTATTTTCAGCTTGAGTATTTGCTGTTGTAGGTTAGTCTTGTGACCTAATTGCGCATGAGGGAGCCTTCCAAAACATGTTACATAATCTCCTCCATTTGCTCTGCCAAACTGGCACTCAGGCACTGCTCCCTCTGATTCAAATTTCCTGCCTGGAGCACTCTCTTTAAAGCAAACCATTGCTTTTCCTTTCCCAAGTCTGCCTGATTTGCCAGATTCTAAGAAATAAAGTACCCTTGGAAGATGTTTTTGTTTAGTTTAGATCAGTGTGAAGAGTTTAATCTGATTGTTTATTCAAAAATATGAAATATATTAAGATCCCGGAGATTAAATTCTTTAGATATTGAATGCAAATGTGTCTTTTCTTTGGTTTTGAAATTACCTTAGGTTTCTAAAACTAGTAATGCAGAAAGAAAAAAAAAACCCACTGATTCCTTAATATCCAGTTTACATAGCAAGTGTGGAAAATGGCTATAATTATCTAAACTGTTTTGAAAAGAATTCTCTGAAAGCACACTACTTGCTAATGGTGATACATTTCAGCCCAAGTGAGAGTGGAAGTACTGGGAGTAGGACTTGGAGTTGACTGGGGCACAGAGCGCAGCTGCCTGGAGGTGCATGCCCCCACCTGCTGCTCTTTTATCTCCTGAAGAGGTGGTGGCACTTTGGCCTGAAAGCTGATAGCACCCAGCAGGTTCCTGGCTTCGAGTCAAGAAGAATTAAGAGACTATACTGGCTGCAGTCTAGACGAGTTGAGAGGAGGGTGCAAGAGCCACACAAAGAGGTTCAGACTGGCATAAAGGTGTTAGAGAGGAGCAACAGGAGCACTAATATGAGGCTTAGGCAGTGGTGACTTGAGTTAGCCCTGGTGTGTCCTGGACTCCGAGTGTCACAAGAGCTAAGAGCACAAAGCAGGGCCATCCTGCTCTGGACTGGTCTCTTGGGCTTCCCATAACAAAGGTGGAGCTGCCTTGGAGTCTTGTTCCCTAGAGATTGAGAATACTGGCAGCACCTGGACCTTCTGTGAAGAGATTAGAAACGAAGCACAATGAGGAGCCGGAGTAACTCGGGGGTCCGACTGGATGTCTATGGTAGACTGGTGCATCAGACCATTTTGTGCCACCAAGTAAGTTAAGGGATACAATACCAAAGATTGTGTAGTGTGTTGGTCTGGGTGGTGAACCTGAGTGAATCTCCAAGTGTTGTTAGTAGTAGGTTCTCCTGCCCTGTTGGCCGTTTCAGGAACAGAATCAGAACCAAACACTAGTATCCAGACTCCAAGCTTTTAAGCCCACTCCCCTCACCACTTCACTCGCCACACCTCGGTTCTTGGAGCTTATTTTGGAAGGGGGTTAAAGCTTATTTAATGTTTTCTTCCCTCCTTTTTGGGCTTAATCTTTCTGCCTGATCCCAGAGAATATAGGTAAAGGAACATTCAGCCACTTTACAACTATATTATTGTGAAGATCTGGGGCATCTTGTATATACTGTTACTTAGATTTTGTTTAATCTTTTACTTCTGATTTTTGGTTTGTAGCCCATTATTTTTAATTGGAAAGTTTTAACACCATCTTTCTTTTAATATTACCCATATTTGAGATTGGTAATGCTTCAGCTAACACTTTAATCTTTCAAATAACATATTTGGTTATAAGAAGAGATAATAAACGGTGAAGTGCGGAAGTGGAAGATCAAAAGTCCCTAAATAAACCATTCCACAGAGTCCACCTCGATCCATAGTTTAACACCTCATAATTATCTGTCTCTTTTCTTCCCACTTTTGCAGAATCCAGTGACTGGCTTGCTTCCAGCCAGCTATGATCAAAAAGATGCCTGGGTCCGTGATAATGTGTATAGCATTTTGGCTGTGTGGGGTTTGGGTCTGGCTTATCGGAAGAATGCAGATCGGGACGAGGACAAAGCAAAGGCCTATGAACTGGAGCAGGTACTCAATAAAAGTACAACATCTGAAGCTGTGGGTGGAAGTAGGGTAGAGTTGAGCAGGGCAGTGAGGTCCAGGAAGGAGAACAGGAGCTATAAAGAAGCGCGTTTTTGTTATATGCTGTGGACAGATTGCCTGTATTTTTTTTGTGGAGCAGCTGAGAGATTAAAACCACCTACTTTAGGGTTGGCAGTGTAACAATTTACCCACAGAACACCAGTTCTTCCTAGTCCACTGTAAGTAAGAGAACTGTATTTTGTCCTGTTTTCCTTTTCTCTTAACCTTCTTGGAATTACATACCAAAAAAAACTTTGCTGCATCCTAGTAATTTTTCTTTCGCTCTTTGTAGTAGAAACTAGAAATTTACTCATTTGGGGAAGAAGGTAATCTTTTTTCAGTTACAATGGAAAATCTCACCTTGACATCTTTCCTGAAATGTATCATTCTCTTTCTAAGTAAATGTATTTTGCAGTCTTGTGCATAGTTCTCACTAAGAAGAATGTTTTGGGACAGGTATCTACCATTCGACTTTCTTTTTGTGGATAATTTATGAGATTTGTATTGGGCTAACTTACACAAATCAGTAGACATTCTGAATCAGACAAAAGAAAGATAATTTATTCATTGATTTTTAAAAAAAATTTAAAGCCATCTTGCCTTTAAACTAACATTTAAATTATTTCTCAATATAAAAAGCATCATTTATAGAACTATTTATATATACAAAATACTGCAATTTCTTGAATAACTACACAGTATTCTGGGCTACCTGACATTTTTAATGTTGAGGAAGTGTGTGGTCAACTGAATTTTTTTCCATTAATGAGAAAGAGTTTATGTACATCAGTCTTCTGCAACAGCCACTATTTGTTATTTCTTCAAGCCAATATTGACAGATATTTATTCTATACTTTCCCTAAAAAAATGAAAGGATTTCCCCCTCTAGTTTAGGAAGTATAGATCAATATTTTATGACTTCTAAGTTATAGAAAGGATGTATATATTGTTGTTGTTGTTGTTGTCAGGTGATCTCTAGTTGAGTACTACTCATAGTAACCCTATGAAAAAAGATCTAAACCCTGTTCTATCCTTTGCCATCCTCACACTTCCTGACACACAAGAGCCCATTGCAGCAGTCACCACACACACCTGGTCAAAGGTCTTCCTCTCCTTCATCAACCCTCCACCCTTCCTAACATTGTGTCCTTCTTCAAGGAATGTTGCCTCCTGGCAACATGCCCAAAATATGTGAGAAGGCTCATCATTATTGCCTCCAAAGAGCATTCCAACTGTACCCTCTCCAAGACATATCTGTTCATTCTCTTGTCCATCTGTAGGGTGTTCAGTGCTCTTCTCTAGCACTACAGCTCGAAGGCATCAATTCTACTTCCTTTTGGAAAGCATAGAGGGGCATTAAAAATCATCCTTCAGCTTACTATTATTATTTTGCTATTTTCATTTTAGTTTTTTTATTTGGCAGGTTTATTTTTCTAGAAATCAATATCCGTGTAACTGGAATGTCCCCCCTGGTACAATTTGATCTATTTTCATCCTCCAATATTCTCAGCAGAAATTTGTTCTTTCCCTGTTGATATTTTTCCTTATGTGGTCCTGGTAGAAGGAATTTATTGGGGGAGAATGATAAATTATAGAATTTCTATTTACCTTTAAATAATTTTTATGAAAATATCTTTCATAACATCTCAATAAATAAATTTGAAATGTCTCAAAAATATTATGATAATTTTGTTGTTGTTGTGTACTGTCAAGTGGGATCCAATCCATTGCTGACTTCCTATCAGATTTTCAGAGGCAGTAATCACACAAAAGGAGATTACCCATCTTTCTCCCAAGAAATTGCTGATGGAGTAGAACCTACATACCTTTGAGTTGGCATTGAAACTTCTTACCAGAGCTCTCTATATGGCAACAGGTAGTATCTTTAAAAAAAAAAGAAACATTTCAAAGAAAAAAACAAACAAAAGAGAAACATATCTGTGGGAATTTTCAAATTTTTATGAACTTACATGATGAGTTGCAAGCGACACAATGGCACATAACAACAAAAACAACAACAACAACAACATATCCCTTTGTCTGTTTTAGTGACTGAATCTTGGTCTATATCGAGGGCTTACATGAGTGCATTTAAATATTCCGAAATTGCCAGTGTTATCTAAAATGTGTGATGATTCACATGTTCCAATGCCTTGCTTGCATGTGAAATCAATGAGATTGTTCTGTAGTTTCCACACTCTGTTGGGTCACCGTTCTTTGGGATGCAAACAAATATAGATCTCTTCCAGTCAGTTGGCCAAGTGGTTGTTCTCCAGATTTCTTGGCACAACTTGGTGAGTACATCCAGGGTAGCATCTGTTAGCTGAAATACATCAATTGGTATACTATCTATTCCTGGGGCCTTAATTTTTGCTATTTCCTTCAAAGCAGCTTGAACTTCTTCCTTCATTACCATAGGCTCTTGCTCAAATGTTATTTCATTAAATTCTTATGTATCTGCCAATTCCTTTTGATACAATGACTCAGTATATTCCTTCCATCTTCTTTTAATACTTCCTGGATCATTTAATATTCTGCCTAAAAGCATCCTTGATTATAGCAACTCGAGATTTGAATTTGTTCTTTAGTTCCTTGAGCTTAAGAAATGCTGAACAAGTTCAGGTCTTTTGATTTTCCTACTCCAGCTCCTCGCACATTTCATTGTAACATTTTGCTTTGTCATTCTGTGCTCCCTTTTGTAGTGGTACAGAGAGTAAATATTTTCCAGCTTTTTTGCTATGTGGCCTCTACTGTAATGATTTGGCTGTGTACTAGTCATGCAAAAGTAGCCAGAGACAAAACATAAATGAATCAGTATGATTGTGTTCCAATAAAACCTTCTTTACAAAACCAGGTGGTAGCCTGGATTTGTCCAGTGACCTGTAGTTTGCTAATCTGTAGTCTAAATGAATGGTTCTTAACTGACCATACACTAACGTCATTGGAGATGCTTTTAAGAAATACCCTTTAAAAAAATACCCTTACTGGACTCTACCATATACTAGTTTCTGGAAATAGAGTCTGGGGGCGTCAGTATATTTTTATTACCTGAGTGATTCTAAAATGCAGATAGGGTTGATAACCACTGATGTATAGTTAATTAAATCCATAAAGTAATTTACATTTCCCTCCAACCACTGTGTGTTTTGTTCAAAACACTGATTGTTATTCTTTTCTACCATTCATTCTAACTCTTACCTTGGAGTCCCTTCTGTGAGAAACAATATCAGAAAATGAAAGAGAATTTTAGATGCAAAGGAAAAGGATTTAAGGGATTGTCACATCCTAGACTGAGAACAAATTAAACACTTTTTTAAGAAATTCTTTTGTATTTTCTCTTAGTAGCATGGGTATAGAATTATATTAATAAAAAAATAAATAGGTACACACATGAGATATTTATTCTTACTGCCTCCATTTTACTTCTTCAGTTTTGTTTTCTTTTATCTTAGTAACATGGATACCAAATTATGGTCCTAAAAAATAAATAGGCACACACATTGATATATCTTGCTACCAGTATTTCTTTATATCTCAAACTCATTACTATGAAGCAAGAACCACTCATAACTCACCCTTCAGAAAGTTTTCAGAAGCTGAAATAGCACACAGGAGGGTAGGGCCTAGACTTTTTTCCATGGAGCGGCCGGATGAATTCAAACTGCATGCCACTGTGTTGGCAGTGCAACTCCTTACTCATAAGGTCACCAAAACTCCTTTCTTCCTTTACATAATCTCATGTTTTCTCATGACTTTACTATTATTTTCATGAGAGTGGTGTCCATATATTTATTTTTAACCATAAGTTCCATTTTGCATCTGCATATCTTGAGGCTTTGAAAGTTAGTGTGTGTAACCCCACTTTCCCAAATAAAAAACAAACAAAATAAACCACCAAAAAAAATTCACCAGATATTCTTTTTGTTAGCTGATATTCCTATTCTACTAGAAAATTGCTGTTGTTGTTTTTGTGAGGTGCTATTGAGTTGTGTAGGACTCATGGCAACCCTATCAACAACATACATGAACCCTGTCCTATCCTGCTTCATCCTCATCATCTCTGACACACTTGAGCTCATTGCTGCACTTCTTGTCTTTTGCTGACCCTAAATCTTTTAAAGCATTATAGCCTTTTCCAAGGACTAGCTCCTTCTAATAACAAATGTGCAAAGAGCTGGAGTTAGAGAATAAAAAGTGAAGAACTCCCTTGGTATGTCTCAAGCTGAAAGAACTGAAAAACAAATTAAAGTCTCAAGTTGCAATACTGAAAGATACCATGGGCAAAATCTTGAATGATCCAAGAAATATTAAAAGTTTGTTGTTGTTATGTGCTGTCGAGTCGCTTGCGACTCATAGCGACCCTATGTACAACAGCCCTAAACTCCGCTCTGTCCTGTGCCAATCGCACTGTCTCTGACACTCCCATCCCAATTATCCCAGTCACTGAATCAATCCACCTCACAGAGGGCCTTGCTCTCCTGCGCTGTCCCTCCACCCTCCCAAGCATGATGTCCCTCTCCAAGGACCAGTCTCTCCTCACAACATGTCCAAAGTATGTTAGATGGAGCCTCAGAATCCTTGTCTCCAAGGAGCCACCCAGTTTAACACTTTCCAGGACAAATCTGTTTGTTTTCCTAGCAGTCCAGATAGAAAAAATACACAGAGTGACTGTACAAAAAATAATTGGTCAACACTGAAAAATTTTGGGAAGCACTATATGAACAAGAGCCAATGGTAACAAAGAAATAAGTAAAAGCTGTGCTAAATACACTGGGGAAAAAAAATAAGGTCCCAAGAACAAACAGGATAACAACTGACATTTTTCAACTAACAAATGCCTCTGCATGTACTCACCAGTCTATGCCAGGATATGTGGAGGACAGTGACCTATTGACTGACTGAAGGAGATCCATTTTTGTCCCCATTCCCAAGAAAGGTGATCCAAC